AAAGTGCATTCGCAACAACGTTCTTAAACACACGAACTACAATACTAGGACTTTAATACGCATCAATAAACAACAGCAAAAACACTAGATAAAAAAGATATAGTGGAGTGTAGAAATAAAACTCTACGTTTAAGTTTAAGTGGATTTTTTTTTTTTGGATTAATTTTTTTTCTGTTTGAATTGGTGGATTTGGTATCTTATAGGTACAAATCGAAAATTAGGTGTCCAGGAAGCAAAAATGATCAAAGAGAAATAAAAGAGTTGCAATTAGGAAAATAAAATTAAATTAGAAGAGAGAATCCCTCAACATCTTTGGTAGTGTATGTCCACGAAGTCGAGCATAACTTTCTCATCCGGACTCCAAATCAACTGGTTTTGGCGGCATTAGAAAGCTATTTCAGCTGGCTACAATTCCTGTCTAACGTGAAAAATCCAAATTCGAACTCGAACATGGTCAAAATTGGATTCCAAAAGCGATCATGAAAATACGTACTACAGTTCGAGGACATGAATGCGCATCGAGAAACGTGCACAAAAACTGTCGCTAGAAAGATACGCACATAAGTAAGTATACAAAGGCATGCACAAAAGTACTCACGCAAAAGTGCATTCGCAAAAAGGATCATGAAAACACAAACTACAATCCTAGGACATTAATACAAATCAACAAACATGCACAAGCACACTCGCTCAAATGGACATGCACTAACGTACATGTAAAAAAACATGCGCAAAAGTGCATTCGCAACAACGTTCCTAAAAACACGAACTACAATACTAGGACTTTAATACGCATCAATAAACAACAGCAAAAACACTAGATAAAAAAGATATAGTGGAGTGTAGAAATAAAACTCTACGTTTAAGTTTAAGTGGATTTTTTTTTTTTGGATTAATTTTTTTTCTGTTTGAATTGGTGGATTTGGTATCTTATAGGTACAAATCGAAAATTAGGTGTCCAGGAAGCAAAAATGATCAAAGAGAAATAAAAGAGTTGCAATTAGGAAAATAAAATCAAATTAGAAGAGAGAATCCCTCAACATCTTTGGTAGTGTACGTCCACGAAGTCCAGCATAACTTTCGCAACCGGACTCCAAATCAACTGGTTTCGGCGGCATTAGAAAGCTATTTCAGCTGGCTACAATTCCTGTCTAACGTGAAAAATCCAAATTCGAACTCGAACATGGTCAAAATTGAATTCCAAAAGCGATCATGAAAATACGTACTACAGTTCGAGGACATGAATGCGCATCGAGAAACGTGCACAAAAACTGTCGCTAGAAAGATACGCACATAAGTAAGTATACAAAGGCATGCACAAAAGTACTCACGCAAAAGTGCATTCGCAAAAAGGATCATGAAAACACAAACTACAATCCTAGGACATTAATACAAATCAACAAACATGCACAAGCACACTCGCTCAAATGGACATGCACAAACGTACATGTAAAAAAACATGCGCAAAAGTGCATTCGCAACAACGTTCTTAAAAACACGAACTACAATACTAGGACTTTAATACGCATCAATAAACAACAGCAAAAACACTAGATAAAAAAGATATAGTGGAGTGTAGAAATAAAACTCTACGTTTACGTTTAAGTGGATTTATTTTTTTGGATTAATTTATTTTCTGTTTGAATTGGTGGATTTGGTATCTTATAGGTACAAATCGAAAATTAGGTGTCCAGGAAGCAAAAATGATTAAAGAGAAAGAAAAGATTTGCAATTAGGAAAATAAAATCAAATTAGAAAAGAGAATCCCTCAAAATGTTTGGTAGTGTACGTCCACGAAGTCGAGCATAACTTTCTCATCCGGACTTCAGATCAACTGGTTCCGGCGGCATTAGAAAGCTATTTCAGCTGGCTTCAATTCCTGCCTAACGTGAAAAATCCAAATTCGAACTCGAACATGGTCAAAATTGGATTCCAAAAGCGATCATGAAAATACGTACTACAGTTCGAGGACATGAATGCGCATCGAGAAACGTGCACAAAAACTGTCGCTAGAAAGATACGCACATAAGTAAGTATACAAAGGCATGCACAAAAGTACTCACGCAAAAGTGCATTCGCAAAAAGGATCATGAAAACACAAACTACAATCCTAGGACATTAATACAAATCAACAAACATGCACAAGCACACTCGCTCAAATGGACATGCACTAACGTGTTAGAATAGTAGACTAAAAGTCTCGCTTTTAGCTTCGTAGTTTTATTATTGAATTAATAAAATAGTTTATTATCATTTTATGAGAATCTGCACTAGGGTATTCAATGCATTTAATTGATTGTTTGTCAATTAATTAAAAGCATAAGTCTAATATTCTAATAGTATTCGAAATGGTGTGCTACGGCGCACAGAAAGATCATTTTGAAAGTTCGTTTAGAATATAAAGATAAACGTTCACAATCTAGATGGAAATGGACTAACCATTGGTAAAAGATTGTAGCACAATATTTAAGTGATTGGTCTTGATCACAGTAAAGAGCGAATAACTTTTGTAGTTATTGTTTTGACTTATTGTGCTAGCACACCCGGCATGTGTTGAACCGGACAAAGTGAAATAATTGTTTCATCACTGTTCAAAATGAAACTGTATTATTTCTAGTTGACAGTATATTACTTACTCTCTTAATCCCTAGATAATTAACGTACACATTTAATTGATGATCTCTACTTTGATGTCACAATGGGAGAGATTCCTATATTGAGTCAAATGGCCCCCGGTGCGTTGGGTAGAGACATTAAGAATTAATAGGTGGAAATTAATTATCGAAAGGAATCCACAACTCTGAAATATGAGATTGATAATAACTCTTGAGTAGCTTATAAGATTTGTTTATGCCAAGTCCTGGCCAGGTGGATTTCGTATCCGGCATACTCAAATAAGTTAGGCGGGTAAGACTCATGAAAAGAAACCATTTAATTTATTTAGCAGTGAATAAATTATTTGGTGGTTATAAGATATCTTAATGTGGGGAGAATCAAAGTAATGATCGACCGGAGCTCGAATGTAATATTTGAGAATATAAACGGGAGTTCAATAATTATTTGGTAGTGGAAAATAAATAATTATTTAATGATTAATTAAATGAATTCTTTAAAGAGTTTGGATTTAATTAATTATTAGTTGCCCGATTTATATTTTCTCCTTTAGTCCCTATTGTAGCCCAATGGATTTTCTAATTAATCGAGAAAATAAAGTTCAACTAATATCATATATTGGAATTAATATAGCCGAAAATTAAGTCCCCTTTGGATTGTAATTTTCGACTATATAGAGTTATAGAAGGAGTGGGATTTGTTTCCATGTAATCCTCTCTATGTGGGACTCTAATTCCTTGTGCTATATATAATGGAGATTAGGTTGATGAGAGGATAATTAATTCCCACACGCCTATTCACGTTGGAGAAGAAAATATTTTTCTCTTCTTCTCTTCTCTCTAGTTTCTCGATTATAGGTTTAGATTTCTTCAAGTACAAGTCCACCCTTGTAGAAGAATTATTAATCCGGGATATACAATAGAAGATTATAGGTTTTTAGAGCAAACCATAAATCCCGAATTTTCTGAGCAGTCCTGCGAAGAAATTCACCATAAATCAACCGTTCGTCGGATAGGCTCGAAATTTATACAGTAACTTCCTAACCCTTAGATCTACAATCTGTCCGAAGGGTTTCTCAATCGGATCAACGATCGCGGAGATATCGGTGAAGGAAGAGGACTGGAAATTTCTGGACAGCAGCTTTTACGAAGGTTGAAGGCTTGACGTGGATCCTCGTTCGTGCGCCGAAGATAGAAACGAATCTACTCGCGAAAACTGTAAGTTGCTAGATTAGATTTATTCCGCTTCAAACGAATCTAATCATAGCATGTTAATAAAATTAAAACCGGCTAATCTAGAACCTCTTGCGAATTTTCATTGAATCCTGGGCTTCACATCCCAACAATTGGTATCAGAGCTTCTTTGATTAATTCGTTTGAGGTTCACATGTTGTCCAAAATTGCATGAAACGGAAAATTCATATGTTGCATATAGCGTTTTGTTTCTGACTTTGTTTTGCAGAATAGAAAATCCGCTATTATGGTTATGAATGTTTTATTTATGTTTTATGTGAATGGATCCCACTGCCTCGTGAGTGGTTACTTGTCGGTTTTAATTTCCATCGCGTGATATTGATGGAAGATCGTATGCCTACGATATTTTATTTTTTGTAATTTTTCTAGAGGAGTTTTAGATAGAAATTACATAGATAGAATAGAGCAGATTTTGTTCTCGGAATTGTTTGCGCGACTGTGCCGTTTCTGTTATTTCGGCCTAGTCCACCGTCGGATCGAGCTGAAATTTTTTCCGGAGGTTCCTAACTCCTTGGCGTAGCATTCGACCGTTCGGATCGTGAATCGGAGTTACCTAGATAGAGATATTAATTTGAGAACAAGGCTGGAAATTCCAGAACAGCACCAGAATTATCAACCGCGCGGGTCTCGACATCGGGCAGCGGGCTATGTAGCACGGATACGGATACGCGGATACCGCGATACGTGGATACGGACACCGCGATACGGCATTTTCAAAAAAGTAGGATACGGACACCGGGGTGGATACGCGTAAATATTAAAAATATAGGGGTATATGTGTAAATATTAAAAAATATAAGGGCATAATTATAAATTTCAAATTATATATATATATATATATATATATGTATATGAAAAAATTATAACAGAAGAAAATCAACAGAAGCAAAATCAATTTGTATGAATTCCTCCTACAGGAGGAAACAATAACAGTTTAATATTCAAAAAGTAAACAAACAAATAATTAATTAATCAATAAACAACAATAAAACATTAAACAATTCAAAATCTAAAATCCAAAAGATAAATTTCAACATTCAAATACTTATTTCGAGTACTTAAAAAAACAATACTTAATTCGAGTCTCAATTAAAAAAAAACATAATAAAATTAAATAAGCACCTTCCATCAAATTCAAGTCTCCACGTCTTCGGCAAAAATTACACCCTCCAATTCGGGTTCATCCAATGAAAGTTGAGCAATATCCAGAACTCCTTGAGCAATATCAAGAACTTCTTCATCTTCTATATTGCCAAAATCATCTCCACCCACATCCCACATTTTTGTCTTATCATCATAGTATTGAACACTACTTCTAGACAAAAGACGAAGATTGGTATGAATGAAGACCAAATCCTCCGCACGTTTAGGATTTAACTTATTCCTTCTAAATGAATGAAAGAAGGAATAAGTACTCCAATTCCTCTCGGAACAAGATGAAGAACTAGGTTGTCCAAGCACTTTGAAAGCCAACTTTTGAAGTAAAGGAGCACTCGAACCATAACATGCCCACCATTTCCTAGGCTCGACATCATATCTACTTACAATCGAATCCGGATCTCCAAATGGCCCAGTCTTGAGAGAGAAATTTGCAAATTCATCAATTGCATTCGTACGCTCCTCTATACCTGGAAAAAATCTTCTAAAACATTTGATTCTTTCGGATGAAACTTCCCCATCCATATGAGGAGCCAATCTACCTTGTCCCTCTAAAAGCCATTTTTCACTGTAATACCTTCGAGAGAAAAAAAAAAGAAAAAAAGAAAAAAAAAAGAAAAAAAGAAAAAAACAACAAAGGGTAAAAAATAAGTAAAAAAATAAATTAATAAATAGTAGAATAACACTTAAGGAACAAATATAATTAATTAAAAACTTACTTTGGGTTTAGAGAGTGAGCCAAACAATGAAGAGGAGTATTGTTTTTTGCCCATCGGTCAACTAGAATTTGTTGGATCACATCAAAGAAAGCAGAAAATCCATACATCGATTTTTTTTCATGGTCATAAATAACTTTCTTCACCTTTTCAATCATAGCATCCCACATCTCATAAACCAAATGAAGGCATGGCTTATCCGTGTCACAAACTCTAATCATCTCATATATAGGTTCAGTGAAGGCTAGAATATATGAAACTTTTTCCCACCACTCTTCACTCAACACTGTGTCCCTGACAAATTTTGCTTTGCTTTGATTATCTTCTCGGTATGATGTCCATTGGTTACACGTCACTAATAGCTGTAAAGCACGTTTGATAAGCATAAATCTTTTAAGCATGACAACAATAGACGCAAATCGAGTGTCGGCAACTGAAAGCAATTTTAAATGGGCAAATCGTTTGTACATAGGCAATATCATCGCATGATTCATGATAAAATTTTTGACTTGCACAGCATCCTCATGAACAATGGTGATCCAACTACACAAATCATATGTCTCTAGATTGGATTCCACATTTTTAGCCGAACAAATATTCTTCAAAGCTAGATTCAGAGTGTGAACAACACAAGGAGTCCAAAAAATATGAGGATACCAACCTTCAATGAGTTCACCAGCAGCCTTACAATTGCTCGCATTGTCAGTGATGATTTGGACCACTTTTTGATGCCCCACCTCATCGATAGTTTTTTTCAGTAAACTCGCGATAAAATTTTTATCTTTTACTTCACCAGAACAATCAACAGCCTTGATAAACATCGGCCCACAGTCAGAAACAACCATAACATTAATCAACGGCCTTCTTTGTGGGTCACTCCAACCATCACTCACGATGGTAACCCCTTTCTCTGACCATGTGCTCTTGATCGGCTCTAACAATCTCTCGACATGCGTTTTTTCTTGTTCGAGCAATGTGGTTCTCAATTTGTTATAACCAGGAGGAAGATAACCAGGTATCGAGTGGTTACAAGCAAATAAAAAAGCACTAACATAATAAGGATTCCTTGCAAAATTAAAAGGCAAACCTGCAGTATAAAACATTCTGGCAATCTCTGCATCCAATTGATTCCTAACATTAGCATCAAAAGCTTTAGCAATAGGATTATCACGATCGCCGGCTTTTTGCCTTTTCAAAACATTAAAAGTATTTTGTTCACTTGTACCACCAGACAACGAACTCATGGTTGTATTTCCGGTAGTAGGCAAAGACACATTTTTAGGTTGTGAATTCATGGCTATTTGTGTCGCCGCTTCTTCTAATTTTTTCATTTCGGCGATACTTTCTCTACTCACTTTTTTGCAAGAAGTAATCCCTTTATTACTTATTTGGAATAGGTGAGCCCTAACTCTAGTGTAGCTCCCTACTTTTTCTTCATTACAGAAAGTACACAACCATCTACAATTACCACCGGCACCTTCCCCCGCTTTACCAAGTTTAATCACATATTTCCACAAAGGATGGAGATCGTTATCCTTAGTTTTTGTAGTCGTCGATGTAGAATTAACGCTACTACCGGTAGATTGAGAATCCATATTACGATAATCTGTAATCAGTCAATGAAAATTTACCTTCACCGTCCAAGCACCCACTCGAAATTTACCTTCACCGTCCAAGCACCCACTCGATGTTGCCGCGCTAGTTGATTACTTGATTTTATTAGGGTTAGTTTTTTGTTCAATGAATAGGGCATATAGAAATCGAATTATTAAGTATTCTAAGATTTTATGTGTTTTTTTCTTTCGGTTGTTTTTTGTTTTAATTAGAAAATAAAATAAAATAAAATATATGAAATAGTGAAATATTCCTAATAAAATAAAAAGTAATTATGGAAAAAAAAGAAAAAAAAGAAGAAAAAGAACGTGTAAGGAAGTAGTATCAGCCGCGCCGTGTCCAAGTTGGGAAGTGTCCATATTTTTTTTTTTTGCAAAATCGCCCGACACCCCACCCCAATACTTTATGGAAATTCGGATACGGCCCGACACCGTGTCCGAGCCGTGTCCGGGCGAGTCCGCGCGAGTCGGGTGTCCGATACGCGGATTCTCCTAGTGTTTGGCGAGTCCGTGCATCATAGGCAGCGGGCAGCGGTTCCGGGCAGCCTTGAATTCGAGAATTCTAGAGTTTACGGGGACTTTTGGACTTCCTAATTTTAAGGAGTCTAAATCCGGGAGTCCCAACTTAACCATAATAGCGGAAAATTAAATTGCTTTATTTAATGTTTTATGGTTCATGTATGTTTATATTTGTTATAAGCATGATTGCATGTATTATTCATGTTTATTATATTTGGGCTTAATTTTTTTATGTGATACCCATGACATATAATTGGACAACATGAAACTTGTACATGCATAAATTTGTATTTAATTTATTATGTTCATGTTCATCTATGTGTATTATATTTGGTTATAAATGTTTTTATGTGATACCATGGCCTATAATTAGATAACATAGATGATTGTGTTGAACATGATAAATTTATCATGATTCTTAGTTTTTCTATGTTTGTTATATAGGATGATTAATTTGTGTATTAATAGGATCTCTTGATATATATAACTAGCGAACATAGAAATAGAACACACTCAATAGGTGCCCATAGTATTTCTATGATTAATTATATTGGACATCGTCATAGATTTTAGATAATATAATTGATTATGAGGAAGGAGATTTATCGAATTCCGCTCCCACTCCGGGCATATTAATTATAGACATTATCTAGAAAAATCTCCGAATGGATAATTTGGAATTGATTATAGTGATACATTATTTTCTCCATGTGGTGGAAAATAGATATCATAGAATAATCAATTTAAAATTAATTGATAGTCCAAAGACATATAATTAGAGAATCTAGAAATTGAGCATGGTAATTATTTTCATAGATTCCCTCATGAAAAATGTTTTTAAAATTATTAAGTATATCGGGGAGTTTATTACGTATAAATCCTAAGGTCTCCATCATAGGCTTTAAGATAAATTAATTAATTGTGAGGAAGGAGATTTATCGAATTTCGCACCCACTCCGGGCACTTTTAATTATAGACTCATCTAGAAAAGTCTCCTAACGGATAATTATTAAAGAAATTGTAGTGATATGTTTGTCTCACTCCGAGTCGACGGATATCATAGAACAATTAATTTAAAGATGACTTGATGGTTAAACACTTAACAATAAAATATAATTATAACTATACTTCACTCCGAAGTCCCTGTTATATTTTATTGGACCAAAGTAACCGACTATTTAATTTTATTTTCCAAGACCGCCGAATTGGAATGATAATAAAATTAAAGATGTTTTACATGTCTGTCTATTGAAAACTTGTAGTCTGTCTACACTCCGTAGCCTAGCGGTTCCTCATAGTGATGGATTGTCGGTTGATTTCAAAATTTGGTTTGAGGGAGCCATATTAAGTGACAATCTAGAGTTCTTAAGGATGCCCTTAGTTTAAGTTTATTTGTTTGATTCTCTAGCAATTAATGATATATCCTTAGATCCACTTTGTAGACTCACTTTGCTAGGATTAATCGACCTTTAATAATATATTAAGTGTTGCCTTTCGATTGAGGAATTTAAATATGTATTTTAATTGAGGAAATTCGTGAGTTAATAAATGAAGTGAATTTTTGGAAGAAAATTTAGTTCTTCATTTATTTTCTTAGGACGATTAATTGGTTCGGTGTTATATATTGAATTTTGGTTCAGTATATAGAAACACTAAGATGAGCCCATGGCAAGTACAAAATAATATAATAGTGAATTTCTTAGTAACGTGAGAAATTTAGAACTATGTTTTAATTTGTAGCCATGTTAAAAACCTCTTGAATACATGCATATTTATTTGGATTATTGGTTAGTCTTCATGTTCGAAAGACTATACGTCATTTGAAAGTTCATGAACTCTTAGAAACCAAGATCAGTGGGAAACCGAGATCAACTTAATCCAAAAGAAATCTATTGAATTTTGATATTTTCAATTGAATAAGAAAAGGATCTTTTCTATTGAAATTATTATGGAAATTCAAATAGGGTTTACGATCCTCTGAAAATCGAAGAAAACACTTTTAGAAGTCATATTCAGTCAATCATTCAATCGCCAGCTAATAATTAGGCTTCTTGTCACTCACTTGACATCAAGAATAGTAGTGACATTTAATTATGTTCAAATCGAAGTAGGATTTTATGTTTAGAGATTATCATTGTGTGTCTTCCAAATAGAAGGAATTTATTTTTCTTTTATAGGATGGTTTAAAATAAATAGTTTGTTTATTTAATAATGACTTGGTCATTGTGGAAAATAAACAATTTTATTTAGACACATTGATTGATATATTAACAATATTTTATTTCCTACACTACTATTACATTCAATGGATAAATCTATTAATTAACCTCAATAGAGTATATATATATATATATTCGTATCGCATCCGTGGCATGATTATTTGATATTTACAAGGGGTTGGATTTTACTTTAAATAAAATTTGGAGACTGATTTACGATGGGCCTTTACGGTTCATGAAAAGTGAAGGCACTGCCAGTCTAAGAATTTTATTTGAAAAGTAAAATGACCATGTGCCCGGTTGATGGGCCTAGTGTAAATAAGATCAAATAATTTTTGGATTTATTTTATTCTATAGTTTGTGGGCCTGCAAATACCCTAGCCAAAGTAGTTTCGAGTAGTTCATCTCATTTATTGATGATATCTCGAGACATAGATATATTTATATTATGCGACATATATCTGAGGTCTTAAAGAAATTGAAGACCGTGACAGATAAGCATTTGAATAAATATATCAAGTCATTTGATATGGCGAAACTTTATGGGTATAAGTTATTGAACATTTTGGTTAAACTAGGGATTTATCCTAGATATGTTTGTACCAAATTGAACCACAATAGAATATAATATAGCGACAAAAATAATTAATACTTATTGAAGACGGTTTAATTTGTCGTGATTTATTGAATATTATTTATTTTTCTAATATATACATTTGAGACGGTTATCTATTTAAGAACTTAAGATCTTCTAAGTTAGTATCCAATGACTCTTGCCGAATTAAAGATTGTTTAAACGTACAATCGGTGTATTATTCGGAACTGGAGTCAGTTAGCATTTATGCTTCCGGAGAACACAACTGATAGAAGATAAGTTAGAAATAAATGTCTCTTGTATGGAATATTAAGAGAAAAATAATAGTGGTCCATTTTGATTCCTAGAGTTAAGAAAACATTGATTTGTATCAATGTTGGATTCTTAAAGGAAGATCATGTTTTGGACTACATAGCCTAATGACGAAGTTTGAAGGAAGTTTGACTGTCTTAGTCTTCTAGTATACCCTAAATACGTTAAGAGTTTCGCTTGTGTTCTAGTATAGAAATTCCAATGCCACTTTCCAGTGGGAGGAATTTAAGTTACTAGTGTTACATTTAGGGTGATTTATCCTAGTGGGAGGATTCATAACGAAATCGTAAGATTGTATGTTTATAGAATGTTAGTGATAACAAGATTCTTGATAAAACATATAGTTCCTTCCTAGAACTATGAATGAACGCCCATTTTTATAAATGCAAGAAATTGGCTTAGTGCTATAAGAATCCAAAATGGAAATGATTAGACTGAGAAAAGTGAAAACCTTTTAAAAGGTTAGGCTTAAAGTAAGAAGGTTCTGTCGGAAAGAAATGGATCGACTACGAGGAAACTTTCTAGCTAGTGGCCACACTTTAGTCTATTTAAAATTCCTAAAATCTGTCAGTGCCATGTTTTAATTTGGTAGATGGATGTCAAGATTTCATATCTCTTGACGAGTGCATTTCACGATGCAAATTAAATGGATTTTAGCTTAGTGCCATATGTATTGCATTGCAAACTTAATAAATTCATTTATGAATTTAAGCAAAGTGCGCATATCATGTGATATTTAGATTGATCATAGAATCAATGTTTTGATTTTGATTAGGAATCTAGATATATCACGTTTTGTAACGGAAGCGTGGTGAAAGTCTTACAAGACGTATTAGATAATAATTTCCTTTTAGAAAATGATTTGGAAATTGTTTAGGTAAGGGTATTGTTTCTTGAGTCAAATCAATATGGATAACTTGAGTGAAACTAGTTATGTCGTATGGATCATTTTATAGGATCTATGAAATAGGACATTAAGTTGTCACGAACAAGTTATATTGATTTAAATACTTGCCAAAATTTAGCATGTACAAATTCCAAGGAAAGGATTGTTTCTTTCAGTCACGGAGTCACTCTATCGAGAAATTAGTGTCTTTGAACAAGTAATTTGTTAGAGATGTTGAAGGCAGTTCCTTATTGTAAAGGAAGCCTTACATATGCTATAGTAAATAATTAAATTCAAATCTTGCTTTGGATCTTGCATAGTTAGCAAATGTGAATTTATTTTGAGGCTAGTATGTTAGACTGCGGTAAAGTATATTCTTAAGTATTCAAAGATACAAGATTATATACTAGTTTACTAGGCGGATAGTCTTGGTACGACTCAATAATTAATG